CATCGGTATTCACGTACGCCAATTGCCTATCCACACCATCCCACCATCCATGCCATTCGGTATTTTTTAGTCGGGATCATTTGCGGTCCCTATCGGGGAACATTTCCGGTCCGGGATCATTTGCGGTCCAATTTGGGGATCATTTGCGGTCCGGGATCATTTGCGGTCCTGGGATCATTTGCCGACCCGTACAGCTTTCCAAGGGTATGCAAGGGTTTACCTGGGTAAATGGACTCACACGGGTGTTACAGGCATTATTATGGGATAGCTGGGAGACTATATGGTGGCCTACCATGAGTTATATGCCCGAAGTGTACTCAAAAGAATTCGTAGCTATGTGGCCGCGTTGCAGGTGTTAAAACGGGGTTGGGGGTAAAAGGAGAACGGGTATGGAGGGAGGGGAACGAAGGAGAGGCGTTTTTCGCCCCCAGGTACGCCTTCCCTGTAATACGCGTGCCGATGACCCCCCCTCTATCAGTCCCCTAGGCTCCCGTAGCACCTTGCTTCCTTCACGCGATGAGACCAATGCAAATTAGAACTGAAGTTAATTTAAGTGTCTAAAACAGTTGACATGACTCAATTACCCCCAACAAAAGGTAAGGTTGCGTTTAAGGTAAATGCTTTGTAAGATTATCTGGCAATTATTCTATCAGTATCACCTTCGCGAGCTAAACATCCGTAAACATTTTGTCGCTAGGTCACGAGGATCACTTTTGGGCGAAACAACATGGGGTTTAAACAGGAATATTTCGACGAGAAAATTCCCGGCGAATTTATCTGCTCTCATTGCCACGATGTATTTCTGGAACCTGTTGCTTTGGGTTGCCATCACATGCTGTGTGCAAAGTGCTACAAAAAAAGAATGAAACGGAAAGCGTCTGTCTGTCCTGTATGCAAGAAAGCATTGTGCTCGAGCGACGAGAAGATTGATACAGAGTGGAAGGAACATTACGAGAACCTGAAAATTAATTGTCCTAAAGGCTGCGAAAGAGTACTGTCACTTGGAAACCTTAATGATCATTTTGCTAATCACTGCCAGTTGACTTTTACGCTTTGCATCAACATTGGTTGCGCTCGAAAGGTACGACGAAAAGATTTAGCTGTACACCTCAAACAGTGCGAATTCAGAGTTGTTCAATGTGAAGGATGCGGCTTCACAACAAAATATGTCAATCTACGAATGCATCAGATCGTTCAGAAGTGTCTCCAAAGAACTAATTTACACATGATTGTGCAGAATCGCCGGCAAATGAACGCGCGCGTGAAACAACACCGTTTGAAATTGCAAGAACAAAGCTTTCAAGTCGAGCTAGAGGAAAGAGATTTGGATCGGGCGAAGATGTGGAGTGCTATCGCGAGAAATGACATTTTAAAAAGAGCAACGACTCCAAACCCTTATAAAGGAAAATTTTCCGCTGAACTGCCGGATAAGGAAAAGGTTTTATCCCGATTGGTACACAGTGCTCCAACATCTCCAGTGATACCTAGTGTAAGGACGTCTTCAAGTCCGACTAGTACTACCAAGCTATGTGAAAACTGCAATAAGCTCTTTAGTGAATGTCGTAACCATGGTGAGGCTTGTAGATGGCACAAAGGGGTAAGTGTTTGTATGGGATATGCAATAAACAATTCTGCAGTAAGCTATTCCGTTCTCCACTTTTTTTTATATATTAGGACTCTAAGGCCCAGTTCAGACGTTGTGCTTTTGCCGCGCTAAACAAAATTTATAAATTATATTAATGTATTTTGGCGAGATTGCGTTCCCACAGGGAGTTAGGAGAAGAATTGTTACGAGGCATCAGTATATCCAGAATTTGGTTCGACTCTGGCACGACGTCTGAATCAGAGTTGTTTTCCAGCCATGCTACAGTCAAACCTAACTGCAATTTAGTTTGGCACAACAGAAGCATGACGTCTGAACTGGGCCTAACTTATTTTAGTTGGAACAAAGTGGATGTGTCTGTTATGGGTATCCAGTCACCTCGCCACCAAGTGAAGTCACCTCACCACCAAACACTAACAAAAAGATAAACTAGTACGAGTAAAGTAGTCTAGGTGCATCGTTGAAATGGACTACGCATTGCCTTCTTAGCTTTTTTCTCGATTCGCATATGTAGATTATTCCTCTTTCTTTTATCCACTACCTTTTTAGATTACCCGGGCCATGGGTTAGATTATTGGTGGCAAGGAAACTTCACTTGGCGGCGGGGTGACTTCACTTGGTGGCGAGACTGACTGGTGGCGAGATGACCGGTAACCCTGTTATGATCCCATAGAAGACCATTTCACCCCCACCTTCCCCACCCCTGTAGATGATTTTATCTAAGAAGCATCCAATAGACATTTCTGATGGGACCCAATGTTTTGCTTTGTCAGCCTCTTTTGATCTTTAAGGATATATGTGCTTCCAACAGTGTGTGGGAGAATTGCCTATTATTCTGAAGACTAAAGAAAAATAATTAAAATCAAGAGAGACATCATATCAACATTATTATCTTTTTTACTTTGATTTTTGCTGGGGAGGGTGGTCTCTTTACAGGACCCTAAGTCAGTTACTGGGCCAAGTCAAGGGTCCCCAATAGGGTTCTTCAATGGGAAAGTTTTCATCGCAAATCCCAATCTGTCATGTTTCTTTCATGAGTCCCTTATGTCAATGGAAAAGATCTCTTTCAATCCAGGTCCAGTGCAAGCTCTCTTGACTCTCTTGGGGGCTTTCCTCCCCAACAGCCCAGGGCCCAGGAGAGCTTGTTCGTAGGCTAATTATCTTTTTTATAGCTTGTTCCTTTTTTTTGTTCTGTTTTGCCCTTATTGAACAAGTAGATTATGAACTCTAGATTAGGGGTGATGAATTGGTCCTTCAAAAACCATGGGTCTCGCAAAATTTTTGCCCAATTTCACAGGTCTTTCAGTCTCATTTTTTTAGCGGTAATGTGCATCTCGCAGTCTCGAATTTTTTTAAAGGCTAAGAAAGTCTTGAAGTACCGATTTGTTTATATTCTTATTTAAGAAATAGAAAACATGTACTGTGTTTCTATCAAGTGATAAAAACACAAGTGGAAGTTTGGGAGAATGAGAAATGCTGTCAGTGAGAACACGAGCCGCAGGTGAGTGTTTCCACAGCTTTTCCGAGTTCTCCCAAACTTTCACTAGTGTTTCAATAACTCGATAGAAACACGGTGAACATGTTTTATATTTCTTTTATAAACACTGTGACGAAAAATACGAAACAAAATTGTTAACTTTGATTATCAAAATGTAAATTCTCTTTGCTCACGCCATCATTATGTCAACTGCTCATGTTAGTTCTGTGTTTCTATCGAGTTATAGGATTATGATTTTTAACCAATCAGCACGCGTATTTTCTTAGGACTGTTTTCTAAAATAGTTTAAATGACCTCTGAATGTCTTAGAACCTGAAACGTCTTGAGCTCGCATTTAAAACACTTTGAAGCCTCAGTCTCACAATTGAAGAAGTCAAAATGTCTCGGGCTTGCAAGAAAAGCACTAGTCTCACGGTCTTGCAAAGTTTAGCATTTACCATTCACCACCCCTATATATTTCAATCATGTGATAGCTAATGAGGGCAAAGCTAAATATTTAGCTACCACAAATATAAATCGAGGGTGAATAATTGAATTGTTTTTACTAGTATAAATCTATTAGGGAATGAAAGATAATCTGAGAATGTTCATTGTGTCCAAACTCAGCATAGGCATACGAGTTGAGGGGNCCCCCCCCCCCCCCCAGCCATGGAAATTACGTCATTTTTCGCGCAAAACACTCATGATTTGGGCAACGACACTTGAGAGAGAACATTACAGTCGAACCTCAATTACCTGTCCCTCGGTTATCCGGATTTCTCGATTATCCGGACTTTTTCTCTAGTCCCAATTTTGTCATGAATATTTATTAGTCATGATACAAGATTCGTAGCAATATTCTTTTTAAAACTATAGCGTTCAAAAGTTCAGTCCAACATGAGTTTGTTTTGCTTTTAAAGAGCAAAAGCAGCACTCAAATGAGTTCTGATTGGCTCAGAGGTGAGTGGTTCAAGATGTACAGTAGACAGTGGTTTCCAAACCGTTTGTAAAAGTGTTGTTTCATGATTAAGTGTTGCTTTATTTAAACAGTTTTGTTCTTCACAAATATTCATTTTTTAGATTATCTGGACATACCCTCGATTATCCAGACTATTTCGTCTATTCCCAACGAGTCCGGATAATTGAGGTTCAACTGTATGAAATAATGATGATTGTTGGCGTGATTTCCAAAACTCATAAAAAAAAGTTTCTACTTTTTTTTAATCTTGTGTGATTAGACGCCTGACTGGGAGTCTGTAGGCCGTCAAGTGACCTGGGGTTTTTTGTTAGCTTCAAGTCATTTAATTGTGTGTCATGGAAATCCACGATAACAATATTATTTCCTTTCCTAATTTTCCATCAACAAAACAGGGACACCAATCAAAGCCAACGAAGACTAAGACTTTTGTTTTTGTGAAAGCCCTGAAAAGAGGCGTTTGGAATGTCTTAACCGTGGGATGTTTTAATTTCTTTCTTGAATTTTTCTTTGGAGGTGTAACAGTCGTCCAAACAGTGCATCTTGAAACACAAATGTCTCCGTTGCTGATCAGTCAATCGCTGAACGAATGCCATGAAAGGAAGCACTTTTTCTTTTAATTAGTTTGAGATTTTACTCGATTGAGACTGTTCATAGAGGTCAATTGAGTATGCAAGCTTTCAATATAACTATCTTTGTTAACGTTTTTGTTTTTCACACAATTTGAGTGTGTTTGCTTCCCGATTTCAACACTCACTCATTTGGGCATTGCTTAATTTTTGGGGGGCAAGAAGGTCTCCACCCTCCAAGGCTGAAGGTGACTGTACGCCTTTGAAACTCAGACAACAATTGGTGAAAATTAAGAGTTATATCTCGGTAAGAGCTATACAACTATCTGACTAGAATATGCATACAAGGTAGCTCTTAGATAGCATGCTGATAACAAGAAAGAAATGAAGCAAACAGTAATACTGTTGACAGTAATGACCTGCTTTGTAAGAACCCTGTGTCCTGTTCATGATTGTAATACTGAATCTCACACCCTTTCTCCTTGAAAATCTCAAACCTTGGTTTCAAATGAACCAAGTCCTGGTCCCTGAAAACCTATTGGGGACCCTCCAGGTCAGTATGCCACTAAAAGGGTGCTAAAAGTTAGTTGCAAGTGTTTATATGAACCCTGACTATTTGATAACATGTATGGTTGGTTGGTTTTGTTTACCAGACAGCTGACCTGGGTCAACAATGTAATCCAGAGAGGCAACATAGTTTTGCAGGGCTGGGTTTATATTGCGTACTTGCAGTCTGAGCTAGCCATATATGCAATCACATAATGTTGACTAACTAGAAATCACTAATAAATTGATGTTGTTTTCTCTTTCCCACACCTTATTTAAATCTCCTGGACTCTGAACTGCATTAATTTTTACAGCCGGTAAGTATAATTTTGATCTGTGCTCTTTCCCTGAAAAGCTTTCCACACACTTTTATTAGATCATAGTTTTAACTTAAGACTGCAGGGAAAAATGTGGCATAAAGATGGTTGATACCCCAGCGGGGGAGGGTACTCGTTTTATACATGACAGGGGGGTTAAGGATGGAGCTTCATATTGCAAACCCCCCCCCCCCAAAAAAAAAAAATTACACGAGCCCGAAAGTTTACTCCCGAAAAAAGACCTGGCATCAAAATTTCCTACCCAACAATAATACGAGACTTAAATACCTCAATACTGATTATTCAATCAAACAGACTCTTCTAATGCATGATTTTGCATCAATAGTCTTAATGAAATTGGTATGTCTGTTAATGTCTCTTCATCCTCCCTTGTGTTCCACATCTACACACAGGTCGTCATCGCTCGGAGATGTGTAAACCCAAAAAAACATGCGTATTTTTTAAGACCTAAAAAAATATGTGACAGATCTCTTGACCCAAAAAGATACAGAGGCTGTAAATTTTCAACCCAAAAAAATACGTCGGACCTCCACCCCGGTCATGTATACTGCAAATACCCCCCCTCCCTGGAGTTGATACTTCATGACTGTTTACTGGAAGTGGGTAAAATGACAATTGTCATTTCATTTGATAGCTGTGCCATCATTACATGTACAGGTTGTTATCTCTTGCTAGTTCTTGTTTCTACTACAGTATAAGAAGGCTTTTAATGTGCACTTTCTTTTAATTTTTTTTTTTATATTTTTATTCTTTTGCGACTAATTTATGCACAAAATGGTTCCTTGAGTTCTCTAATTCATCAAGTTTAAACAAGGAAAACCATGACAGTGACAGTGTTAGGATATAACATAAGAACTATAATTTAGATTTTTATGATTTTATTTCTCTGTTTCTCCTTTGATTTAGTTTCGATTGCGAAGATATATCAAACACTGACAAGACAGTGTTTGACCACATTTCCAAACCCCTCGAAGTTTGTCAAAAATACCCTGTATTTTCAACTCCCTTCTCAATGTTTGGAAATGTGGTCAAACATGGTCTTTTGTGTTTTATATATTACATCAAAACTTTTTAAGACTGAGCGAATTTCCTTCTCAGGAGATATTTGTTACAAAGTGCAACCTGTTTTAATTAATTAAACAGCTTTCTCTACACGTGATCTAGTTATGCAAACTGAAGCTATGCATGATCAACTCAATACACATTTATTTTTTCCTTATTTTCTCTCGTAATTTTTTATTTTTCTCTCTGTTTCATTGACCAGGTTGTGGATGTGGTAAGTCAAGGCAAACAGGTTTCTTTGATTTTAATCTAACAACTTTAGGGTGGAAAGAAAACAAATTTTCACACTGAGTCCTTCTGGGCTGAAGCCCTAACTATGATAGTCAAGCCCTAAAATGATACTTACTAGCACCGAAAAAGTTTGTCTCAGTACTGCTGTAATTTGAATTTCATCAAGGATTTTCCCAACAAACCTCACTCACCCATCGGGCAAGATACAGACAGAATTCACTAACTTTACTCCACTAACGGTGGGCTATTAGACAGGACTTTTCTTGCACACTGAACTTACTGTAAGGCTTACCTCTCGGTTTCTCTGAGAATATGTTTGACTTTCTATGAATTTTACTTTCAGAATGAAGTTATCATGTATATATCAAATTGATACAACATTGGAACTAATGTGTGTTTCCTACTTTTCCTTTTCATATCCTTTGTTCATTTTTGTGTAATCATCATGGAATGGACGTGTCTTCTTGTTTAGTTTGTAAGTAAAATCAATTTTATTTTTAAGTTTGCTCTCAGTGGACAGATGATGTAGTAATGATGTAGAGATTTTTGCCAAAATAGCATTTTTGAGACTTTTGACATTTTCTGGTTGGTCATGAGCTACATTAGCTCCATTAACTACTCAAAGCAGCATTTCCAACTAGCATCAGGCTTTATGACATCTTTGCTCAGGCATACACACAAATAAACATTTTGAGAATGAAAATTCATTTGTCACCCCTTATCTTGAACTACTGCAGCTGTATGAGGAAATATCCATATCTCACTTTGTGTATCTGGAACCCTAAAATTTCTGTTTCTCATGGGAGTTTGAGATAGCAATGTTTTATTGTAATAAATTAGTGATTTTTTGCCTGCTTGAATGTGTGGATAAATGCCATCAACATTTAAGTGCATTATAATTTGAGTTAGCATTGAGCTCAGTCCCATTGATTCAATC